AGCGGCCACTGCACTCCAGTCTGGGCGACAGAGTGAGACTCCGACTCAAAAAAAAAAGAACTCTGATTTTTTTTTTTAAGATGTGGGGTACAATTCAGGATTAGGTATACAGATGTCCATTATGCAGGTACCCTTGTTGATGAGGGGTGCCCCTTCCTCCTCTGGTAGTTTCCCTCAACTGCCAATTCCACCACCCCCCCGGCAGTTTCCCACTACTGCCAATCCCTTTCTTATGGTATTATGATAGTTGTTCAAGGTCCGCTTATGAGTGAGAACATATGGCACTCTGATCTTTTTTTCTGTGATAGATCACTGAGTATGATTGACTCTAAATCCACCCAAGTTTCTGCAAAGTCCATGTGTTAGTCCTTCTTTATGACTGCATAATATTCCATTATGTATATGTACCACATTTTTTTTCATCCAGTCCAGCTTCGATGGGCAGTATAGGGGGGTTCAACAAATATTTAAGGAATGTGCTCTTGGTGCTTGGCATTGATGAGATGCCGTGGCGAAGACAGCACGCCCCCACCTCTTGGGGGTGCGCATAGGCAAAGCGGGGAGGTGTGATAAACAAGTATCCGTGCATTCTCACACCCACTGCATGAGGCAGGTGCGGCTGTTGTTCTCCTTTTTTTTTTGAGTTGGAGTCTCACTCTGTCACCCAGGCTGGAGTGTAGTGGAACACTCATGGCCACCACAGTCTCGACCTGCCGGGCTCAGGAGATCCTTCAGCCTCAACCTTTCAAGTAGCTGGAACTACAGGCATGCACCACCAGGCCCAGCTAATTTTTTAAAAATGTACTATAGAGACGAGGTCTCACCAAGTTGTCCAGGCTGGTCTTGAACCCGTGGGCTCAGGCAGTCCTCTCGCCTCGGCCTCCCAAAGTGCTAGGATGACAGGCTTGAGCCACCGCACCCGGAATGTTCCCATTTCATAGATGAAGAAGTTGAGGCTTGAGGCGTGTAGGGTCACATGGCTAGTCATGGTAGAGCCGCGCTTCAGAGTTGAGTCTTTCTGCCCCCAGAATTCCAAGCCCTAAATAACCATATCAGTAACTTAGGGAATATCAGGGAGTGATAAGAAACATGAAGGAAAGTGTCCCAGTGTCCTGGGATATGGATTTGCAGTGACTGGGCAGAGAGGGCACAGGCTGCTCTTGAGGTGGCTATCAGACAGGCTGAGAAAGGACATTTTTGCTGAGAGGTGGAAGGGGAGGTGTTCAAGGTAGGAACAGCAGAGGCAGGAAGGAGCTTGGTGGCTCAAGGGTCTGAGCATTGGCCATGGTGTGCAGAGCAGAGACTGAGCGAGGGGAGGAGAGGGCGACAGAGACAGTGTCACAGGGATTTCTAGGCCACAGCGAGGAATTCACTGTGCTATTTTAAGCACGTTGGGAATTTTGGCGAAGTGAGCTTCCCAGGCCTTTCCGATTTGTCTCAGTCAGCTTGGGCTGCTGTGGTGAACTGCCTAGACTGGGTGCCTTAAACCACAGATGTTTATTCACCATGATTCTGGAGGCTGGAAGTCCAAGGTCAAGGCGCCAGCAGCTCCCGTGTCTGGTGAGGGCTTCCTCCTGGTTTGCAGATGTCCTTTTTGATCGTATCCTCACACGGTGGAGAGCAGAGAAAGGAACAAGCTCTCTTCCTGAAAGGGCAACGGCCCCACTCACTAGGCACCCCCGTGGCCTAATCATTTCCTAGAAGCCCCAGCTGATCACACCTTCACGTTGGGGGTTAGGATTTCAGTATATGAACATGGGAGGGAGGCAAACGTTCCGTCCATAACCATTGGATCAGAAGTTGAAAACATCAATATGAGCATTGGGTTTGCTGCTTTGGGGAGAAAAGTAAAGGAGATTTGCAGAGTGGTGTTCGGCCAGCGCCTGTGGGAGCCCAGGGTTTTCGGACACGCTCACGTAGACAGGAGAGTGCTTTCGGGAGATGGGCCTGGCAGCGCCTCAGAAAGAAATGTGCTGAGGTGAATACCCAGCACTCAGTTTGCAAGGGCTGTCTTAAGACTTACGGATGATCTCATATCTCATATCCGCCCCCAGAACATAAGGAAAGGGAAGTCTCTTTCCCAGTGTGAGATGGTGGCCTTGTCAAGAACCCCAGATCCCAGGGCGGCTCTCAGGTGCAGGCAGGACCTTGCTCAGACCAGTGCAGCTGAGCAGCCCAGAACATGATCTTTTCCTCCATCCAGATTTTTTTTGAGGTGGGGGTGGTCGGAGTCTTACTCTGTCACCCAGGCTGGAGTGCAGTGGCAGGCTCATGACCACCGCAGCCTCGACCTGCTGGGCTCAGGTGATTCTTCCACCTCAGCCTTCCAAGTAGTTGGAACTACAGGCATGTGCCACCACACCTGGCTAGTTTTTTGATTTATGGTAGTAGAGATGAGGTTTGCCATGTTGTCCAGGCTGGTCTCGAACCTGTGGACTCAGGCAGTCCTCTCGCCTCTGCCTCTCAAAGTGCTGGGATTACAGGCATGAGTCACCATGCCCAGCTCCACCTGGATATTTTGAAACAGAGAAGACTAAATGTCAAGGGTAGAAGTTGAGCTGAGGATGGAAATCAAAGTGTTATTCAAAAACCTCGTTAAACCTGTGTCTTCTAAAAACTTTCAGTGTAACGGGGATAGTCTTACAAAAGGAGACTTTGTGAGTTCAAACT